CCCTGCTCGGCTGGGCTCGGCGGGGATCCGCGCGCAGTGAGGGCTCCCGGGCTCCGCGGCTCGCTCTGCTCTGCTCTCCCGCTGCTCGCTGGCTCCCGCGCGGAGGGGGGAACCCAGCTACCCTGACGTAAGGAGTCCGGGGCTGAGCAGCGGAGGCGGCGAGGCAGCGCGCGCTGCCATCACTCGGGAGACGGCGCCCTCATGTCATCAGCCTTCGGTCCTCCTCCTATCGGGCGGCGTCCTCGGCAGAGGCGGCAAAGGCGCGGTTCCTCCTGGCGGCGCCTGGGAGCCACAAGTGGGCGCCGCGGGCGCAGCCCGGGCTCAGCTCCTCAAGGCACACCCACCGGTGGCCACACTCATGCGCCTCCCACCCACCGCACACTCAAGGGCCCACACAGGCCCCTCCACTTGGCCACGAAGGCTCCCGGATTCCCGATGTCAGCAAGGTTCTTTCCGGGGACACCTAATCCATCCCCCTGGCTGTAAGCAGGACCAGACCTAAACCCAGCAAGTCAAGAACATCAGCCCCATGAGCCCCAAGAGCAAAGAACTTTCCGAAAGCCCTTCTGAGTTACTTGCTCAGAATAAAATGAATCTCACTTCTGGAAGGTCTTTCAGAACCCTAGCCTGAGGATCCCAGGCTGCTGTAATAGGCCTCAGAAGGCCACCCCACCAACTCTTTGAATGACTCTTTGAAAAACCCAAAGCTGCAAATACACAAGTTAGTAGCCTCAGCCTCTTTCTTCCAGCCAGAGAATGGCTGGCCCTTGTCCTCTGCATACAATTCATTTAAATCCAGATCCCTGATACCCAGCAATTGATGACAACCTTGGCACACTCAGCGTCAACTCACAGCCTGACACTACAAGACAGATCCAGACAGGTGCCTTTGGACATCCCCAGTTCCTCCTACTGAGGTGGTGGGTTTAGTTATTTAAAAAATACTCCAAAGCTATTCTGAGCCAAAGCTGTGACACCCAGTTTCGAAGGAAACTATCCATTTCCAGTGCAGCTTGTGAAGATAAAGGATGGATGGGAGATGTTTCTGTGTAGTGGAAAAAGCTCCAGCTCAGAAATCAACAGCCCTGTCTTCTGATTCTGCTCTTGCCCTGTGTGCGACTTTGGGCAGGTCGTTCCCTGCTCCAAGACTCCGTTTTCCTAAAAGGCAGACTCCTGCTCCAGCCCTCCCTCACAGGAGAATGCACCAGGCCGGGCCTGGGAGGATAATCAGTGGCTGATGTCAGTGTTTTCAGAGCATCAGTATTTCTGGAACCACCATGCGCCCTCCTGAGGCTATTGCTCTGAGGAGAACACTCATTTCTCAGGTATTGTGTTCTCGTGGGTTACTTAAAAATCCATTTTGTTTCCTTCTGGTCATACTGGGTCAGTTCCCCTCCCTGTTTCACGCTGCTCCAGCCTCTTCCTCCTTCGGTGTTATCTTCCAGGGCATGACAGATCTGGCACCTGGTAGGCTCTCAGTGCAGATTTGTGGAACAGATGACTAAACCTCGCCTGAAGTAAACAGGACCCAGGAGAGAAGGGGGAGAAGGGACTTATTTGTTGAGCACCTACTGTGGTGCATCAGGCCCTTTGCACGTGCCACTTCACTTACTCCTCCCAATACTCCAGATTAGCAATCATTCTCCCATTGTTCAGATGAGAAAACAAAGGCTTAGAAAGGGTGAGGTGCTTGCCCCATGTCCTTCACCCGTATGATGGAGCTGGACTCCTCCTCCCACGCAGACCAGGGGCTCTGAGAACCTGGCAGTGAACACAGCACTGGCAGCTAGCTCCTAGCCACAGGCTCCACTGGTTTGCTGGGTCCTGGGAGCCCTCCCTTCCCTGCCTTAGGGCCACCTCTAGAACTAGGGAGCCACACTCTCTGTTCTGGCTCTACAGCTTCCTGTGTGAACTTAGGCAAATTGCTTCACCTCCCTGAGCCTCAGTGTCCATGTGTGAAGAACGGGAATGACAAACATCCCTGCCTCCAAGTTATTGAGAAATTAAATGAGTTAATTAAGAAAGGCCTTAGACCAATAGCTGACTCTTATAACAACTGATACTTTGGACCTCCACCATCACGCTTAAGACCACTAAAGTGAGATGCATGGGCAGTAAACAGGGTGGGGGAAATGGATTTTAAAACACAGAGAGACCCAATGATCATCCACATGCTCTAACTTTCTCGGAAGCAGAGATCAGTGACTGCACCACCCCTCCCACAGCCCCCACAGACTGACCCCGCTCTGGCTTCCTGCCCTCTATCAAGACTGCCCAGTGTTTCCAGTCACCAGTTCCATCTGGACAAACATCTTCCAGGCAGAAACTCAGTTTGAATTCCTCAGCCCTGAAGACCACTCATCCCCAAATCCCAGGGCTTTTGCCCCTACAGGATCTAGGCAGGAAAGAGGCAAGGATGGGCAAATATCTGAGACTCATGCTGTCATTCTTACAGACCTCTGGCAATGCAGCCTTTCCTGGGGATCAGCATTACTGGGGATTGGCATTCCTGGGAGCAACTACGGCCTTGCAGGCAGAAGGGACAGGAAAGGGACAGCAGCAGCTAGAGCAGGCTGAGAGCTGGCACCCTCCTCCCCACCAGCAACGTGAGTCATGAGGTCCTCCCTCTCTTCCACGTGGCAAAGCCAGACTGAGTGGCCTGCTGGAGTGTTTGACACACCTCCTCATCTGCCTGGCTTCTGCTCCCCCTGAGTGATCCACGTCACCATCAGTTACTATATTCTCATTAATATTAATTATGAACTTTATTAGCATATTGCCTTCCACTTAGACTGTGGTTTTACATTTCAAGGCCCAGTAATGATTCAAATCTGTCCCAAATTAGCCTTATAATCCAGGCTGCATTCCTTCCACCGATATCCATTGACAATCTACTATGTACCCAACCAGTCACCTCCCCCTCTCATGTCATAAAGCCTTAGTGGTCTGTGACCTATAGCTTGATATTTGGTCACACATTGTCTTATCTGGGACTTTAATGATTCCCGCCAGCAATGAGCCCCACTCTTCATTCATCTGCATTTAGTGTCTTCAACCTGGGATGCCTGTCCCCCCTCATCCCTCTGACTCATCCCTAATTATCCTTCAAATCCCAGCCAAGTCCCTT